AAGGTCTTGGGCGTCTTCCTTGGAGAATGGGAATCTCAAGGACAGTGTTGGACGGAACGGGTGTGCTGGCATTGCGCCCCAATATCCCTTGGGCTGGAGGTTGCACATAGGGGTCGTTATGCTGTACGAGATGCCCGAACGATAAGGCACGGGCGCAAGGTCGTCGTGCCTCGATTATGTCCAAATGGATGGATTTTCGAAAGGTCCCGATCATAAATACAAGTCCATGGATCGGTTCTCGATATGTGATTACAAAATGTTAAGAAACCCTTGAGAGTTGGATCTAAGAACCTTACTAACGAACAAGACCCATAGAACTCAATCCCAAAAACCCCGAAACCGATTAAGGAATCAACCTAAGGAAAGTAAAAATCGGATTACCTTGATGATCAAATATCTCAAGACAAGAAAACGTGTTCCTTGTTTGAGATTCGAATCACTCCACAAGCAAGATAGATCAAGTCTCACTTGAATGATCCTAAACATGCAAACTATCACTAGATTGCAAAGTACATTAGCTCTTGGCTAAAAGAAAGGCTCAAAGGCTCATTTCGTTACATCTTCAAATCTATATTCTATCCTCTCAAAGCTGACATACATGGCTATATATAGCCTTCAAAATAGTCCTTAAAAGTAACATATGGGCATGTGAAGGGTTGGAACACTTAACTCCATCAAGGCCATAAACAACCATTAACTAAATGTAACCTAAAAAGTAAATGGAAAGTCTTAAAACTTAAAATACTTAAAAATACACCATAAATCCGAAAATAAATATTAAATCAGCAAACGAAGAGTTTTGTAACCCTAAAGGATTAAATGAAGCCTCATTTAATGTAGCATGAACTTGAAATCCATAATTGATGCTTTTGTCTTGAATGAAGCTTGAGTTGACTTGTATTTGATTTGAATATGTTGGAGATTCATATCAGTATGTGTACCCAAGTGAGCAGTGAAGTCTGATGACATCCCGATGCTCGGGGTGGCATCCTACAGTACCGGTAGGCACCCGGTAAGTGAGAAAAAGCTTGTCTTGGATCGATAAATGGCAAGACTCATCCTGGTTGCCAAGTTTAGTCATTCCTTGTCCGGATCTCGGCAGGAATCATCCCAGTAGTACACGATAAGGTCGTTTAGCCCATTATTGACTAGTTTCTCAGCAGGAATGGTCTTAGAGGTGTCCGATGGGCCCGATAAGCTAGATTTGTGTAGTTAACCGGCATGAATCTCCGAGTAGTACCCGGTTGGTGTTTTAAGCTCGTTTTAACCCCATTAAAGGTCAGAACTCATCCCAGTAAGGTCCTGGCTCATCGTAGGAGTGGGACGACCGAGTGGCCGAGAACCAAGAGCGTTGGAAACATGTTGCGACATCGTATTTGGAGGACCTTGGACTATAGTAGAGAAAAGGTAGAGTCGTAGGGCTTGGCCTAGTGTAGAGGCAAGTCGACTAGAGTCGCGAGAGAGTTTAAATGCACGTACAGGCGACGTGCATTGTTAAGACAAGTCAGAATTTCGCATTCAAATGAAGCTCAGTCGAGGAAGAGAGAACCTCGCCTAAGGTCTGACGAAGTCACAAAAGGGGCGAAAAGTGTATTGGGGCTAGAGTTCCCTGTAAGACTGGCCATGGTCAAGCTTATATCATGGCCCCGCACGGTTGAAAATTGTACGACCGTGACACTAAGCAAGCATCTACGTTCTTAAGAAACAAACAGCCCAGAAGTATCTTTTACAATTTTTAAAAGTGTATTGGGGCTAGAGTTCCCTGTAAGGCTGGCCATAAAACTAATGTGGAAAATTTCCACACCTAAATAGATTTTTWCATTCTTTGCTCCAGCTTCACCTTCCACGTGTCCACATCTCGTCCATCCATCTTTACGGGTCCCACCAGATGTCCTACCTGGCAATCAGAAACTATGGACTTATATACCAAGTCCACGTTGCATTGCCCATGTTGTTTTATTCCTCTTTACATTTGTTTACCATTTTCTTCCAAATATCTTTCATTCATTGTTCTTATAATATCATTTCTTTTCAAAAGAAATAAAGAAAAATATCTTTTTGTTTTGCTTTTTTTTTTCTTTTCTATACTTGCTTCCCTAAGTTAAATTTAATTTTAAAGTTATAGTTTTATCCAATGTTAAATTTACATTAGTGCATTATTTTATTTTATTTTTTACTTTTCCTTTTTTTAATAATACCACATCAAAATTATGGGGTGGAGATTTGGATTCCAAGAAGTAAAAAATGTTTTCATTATCGAACTATGTTAATATGAAATTGTATCACGTTAGAATTTAGAAATTTGTTATTAAAATTTACGTCCTTACGAACCATCGTGGGATGGCTCAACTGGTCAATGAGGGCCAATGTAAATAGCAAAGGACGTAGAGGGATTGAGTTCAAACCATAGTGGCCACCTACAACCTGGCTTTACCTCTTTGCCTCTTTGATAATGTTTGGAAAAATGTATAAATGTTGTTTGATCACTGCATTTAATACTGAGTGATTGTGGATGTTTGGTACTACTTGTGTTTTCAGCACTTTTTAGCTATTAGTTGGAAGAAAACCCCCTTGACTTTTTGCATTGCTTTCTTGAGTGACTATTGAGTGTTTAAGCATCTAGTCTCTGTGGATTCGAACTTTTATTACTTGCTGCGACGATTGTGTACACTTGCGTATATAAGAATTGGTAGCACAATTAGTGGACAATCAAAGGTCAGCAGAAGTACCAGCATCCGTATTCAGCATGATATTAGTAGATAGAACAGCAGAAGAGGGTTCAGTCACAACAGCAGTAGGTGTAACAATAGAAGTGATAAGAATCATGGTGTTCCGAGCATCTCCGCTGGACCTATTACACGAGCCAAGGCTAAGAAGCTTCAACAAGCATTCCTTATTCACGTACAAAATTGGATATTTATTTCAGATGCTGCAAAATAATCCAAGAGAGGACGATGTTGTGAAGGTCAACGTTTGCAAGATTGACGTTGTGCCAACATTTTAAAGATTTATTTGTTGTTTCTAAGTCATCAAATTTTGCTTGTAATTTTTGAGTTTTTGGTCTTCCAAATTATGGTTTCAACTTTAGAGTTCAATTATGGGAAGTTATTATGTAGACCAATTGTGGTCATTACTACTTATGGGTTTTATTTTGGAAAGTGAAGGGTTGGGGGTTTCACTCATATAATGGCTATAAAAAGCCTCATCCAAACTATGTAAAAGGCAGATTTTCGCTAAATGAAATTTGATCTCTCAAGAGACATTTTCTTTAGAAATCCCATTGCCATTTCTAAGGTTTCTTGCAATTCTTGTGATAGATTGCATTTTGAGCCATTCAATCCAGCCTTGATCAAGTTTGATTGTGGAATGACTCATTCTAGAACAAGATTTCCATTCTTGCTTCTAGATCTTTGATCATAGAGGTAATCAATTTCTAGCATTTCTCTTGGTTGATTCTAACTTGTTTAAGGAGGTGTTAATTTCTTTGATTCAAGGGTTCTTGCTCAACAAAAGTTTGGATCATTGGGCTGAGAATTAGGATTGCCTTATCAAGAAGGCTCAATAATAGTAGGTGTATCAGTAGGTGGAGTGTGACTGAGACCAAAATCAGTAGATATAGCATTACTATTATCGAAACAACCAAAGCAAAATTTAGAAAAATCACCATTAAAACCAACAGTAGGATGAGGCATATCAGTAGTCCTCTCAACATCAGGCACAGACACATCAACATCAGTAGCAGAGATAGGAACATCAGCAGAGGAAATAGCACTAAAACCAGCAGTTAAAGGCAAGCCCGAATATCCAACAGACTTTGGCAAAACAATATCAGAAAAAATATTCAAGTCAGTAGTGGCATCAGTAATTATGTGGAAAGGAAACACCTTTTCATGAAACACAACATCCTGAGAAATAAAGAAACACTTGTTTTCAATATCATAGAGGCGATAGCCTTTCATACCAGAAGGATATCCAAAGAAAACAGACGGTATAGCTCTGAGATGAAACTTAGATCTGTGGTTAGGAGAAGTGGAAGCAAAAAAAAGACAACAAAAGACCCAAAGAGCTGAATAGTCAACATCTTTGCCATATAATTGAGCAAATGGGGTGGTCCATGCAAGTAATGGTGAAGGCGTTCGATTGATTAAAAACTAAGCAATAAGGACACACTCCCCCCAAAACTGAATGGGAACTCGAGACTGAAAAAGGAGAGACCGAGCGACATTAAGTAAATGCTTATGCTTGCGTTCAACAATGAAGTTTTGCTCTGGACGACCAACACATGAAAACTAATGGACGACACCTTTGGTATGAAAAAACTCAGTAAAAGATAACTCTGGTGCATTGTCAGAATGAAAAACTTTAATGGTCTTACCAAACTGAGTTTCTACTAACTTAAAAAAACGTGGAATCATAATCAAAGCTTCAGACTTTTGTTTCATCAAAAAAGTCCATGTGTATCGAGAGTAGTCATCTACAAGTGTAAGGAAGTATCGACGAGTATGTGTAAGAGAAGAATATGGTCCCCATACATCACAATGTAACAGATCAAAACAATGATCAGCAATATTATTGTGAGAATCAAACTTAAGACGTTTTTGTTTAGCTAATGGACAAATAGAGCATGGATCAGCAGAATCATGCTTAGGCAAAGAAGTAATATGCAATTTGTCCTTAAGAGCAAACAAATGTTTTGTAGAAGGATAACCCAGGCGAGCATGCCATGTACTATAAGAAGAAACAACAACAGTATTACAAGCAATAGTAGAAGACTGACGAGGGATGGAAAAAGATAGAGGCCCTGCCATAAGTCAGCCCTGCCAACCGTTCTCAAAGAAAACATTTCCTGAAGAACACAATACGTATCAACAAACTGTACTGAAACTGATGAATACTTCGTTAGAGTGCTGACTGAAAGAAGATTAAAACGAAAGGATGGAATTAACAACACATCCTTAAGTAACAAATCTGAAGTAACTTGGATATCTCCAATAAACTCTACTGATATGCAAGAAAGATTTGGTAAAGATAAAGTTGCTCCTGAAACTAGCCTCATGGACAAGAACAGGTCCCGATTAAAACACACATGAGTTAAAGCCCCCGAATCTATAACCCAGTGATTAACTAAATCAGTGCATAACAAAGAGATATGACAGATACCTGCAACATGAGGTGTATGAGAATCTGTATCTGTGTGGCGTTGGACAGTTGAGAGGTGAGACAGTAACAAAGTCAGCAAGCCTTGACACTGATCTGCAGTAAAAGAGGCAAGCGAGTCCAAAGAGTTTGAACTTAATGAAGAGGCAGATTTCACAGATTCAGAATTGGATCTTGAATTGGAAGAATTGGAGAAGCTAGATTTTTGTCCATAAAATCGATGGCCCGGTGGATAACCATGTAATTGGTAACACTTATCCGTAGTATGTCCAATAATTCCACAATGTGTACATACCGGTTTATCTTTCTTATTTGCTTGAGAACCAGAAGAAGTCGTAGAAGTTGGCGAACGAGATGATCCAACCGAATTATTTCGAACAAGCAAAGTAGCGGGTGAGGGAGGAACGAGTGAAGTAATCGCTCGTTGCTGTGCCTCTTGCGCAACTAAAGAGAGAGTGCGATTAATCGATGGTTCGGGCTCCATGAGAAGTAATTGAGCACAAAATTGGCTAAAAGAATCATTTAAGCCCATAAGGAAACACATAACTTGTTCTTGTTGATGAATCCAGGAAATCACGACATTATTGCAGATAATCCAATAATGCAATTGCTCACCAGTAGGTTCGCGGCAATGAACCATCGATGAAACCAACTTTGTTCTTCACGGTTAGAGCAATGATCATTGACCTACTCCACGATGTATAGTTTTCATCGGTTAATAAATCTGATACAAGCACCAGGCTTGTATTATCAGAATGATGAAGGAAGTAAGGATTGATATATTGCTCCAGAGAAATTTGAGGTTGATTCATCGAGGAAGACAAAGTTGCAGTAGGATTAATGCTCTCATCTTCAGCCATGGAAGATCAAAGAAAGAGAGGGTTTGAGTTATAGATGGTAGTTAATGGGAAAAACCGCCAAAAAACAGCTGGCAAGTAAGGAAAGAGAAATTCCTTCAATTACTCTCGAAAATGCGGAAAACATCTGATACCATATTAAACTTGGAGAGTAAATAAGACTTGCATAATCTTATTAATGAATAAATGGTCATATATATATTCCAAAGGAGGATAGTTACATATAAACCAACTAAGAAAGTAACTATATAACAGAATGATAAAATCTAATATGTTGCCCAACATTTTTAGTTTGATTTTTATGAAAAGTATTAATCTCAATCATTTAAGCCTACAATTTTTTTTTTCATTTGAAAATTGTTTGTTATAGTATGAGAGGAGTAGCCTTTGTATATTATAAATTGTTGTGAGGTCTCTTTTATCTTTTCAATGTATTAATATTTATAGATTCCATTTTAAAGTAAATTGATAACGAGAGGAATAGCACACTTGTATTATAAATTATTGTTAAGTCTCTTATCTTTTAGATGTAAATCGTTTGATCCACATTTGTGAAAAATGTATTTTTAACCAAATTTTAAAAATAAAAATAAAATTTTGTTAGTTACGTTTTTAAAATTTGACTTACGATTTTAAAAAGATGTTTAATATGTTTATTTTTGGAGAAGAGAACAGCCAAACCAAAATAGTTACTGGAGAAGCTTTAAAACTCAATTTAATAAAAAATAAACTAAATTGAACACTTTTCAGATTTTTCCTTAGAACGACACTTTAGGATTGGAAGAGGAAAAATAAGTTTAGATATGCCAACTTCTGTAAAAAATAAATGTAAATTAGTAAGACCTATTTTCTGACCATTATATAATTTATTATTTAAAAAAATCTCTATTTTTGCTTTTCACACCCTCAAATATTTAAAAGGATGGTTAATACAATATAATTCTCACCCATACCTAAGTATTTTCCGTTAGTTGTTTCAAATTTCATCCTCCATGAGTTTGTCAGTCCAATCTTCTTCAGCAGCTATTCTCCCGGAGCTCCGACCACCCATCCTTCTGAAAGACCCAACGGCCTCCGCCACCAGTCCCCTGAAGCTGTTGCTGCTTCCTTCACTCAAATTCCTCGATCTCCTCACCGACGACGACGACGAGACCATCTC